AGTCTGGCTCTGACTCTAGTCTATCTTTTTGTTGCATGAGTTACCCAGCCTTCCGTTCGATGGTTTCGAAGAAGAAATTGGAACAGGAAGTCATGATGGTCCTAGTGAAGCAAGTTGGCGAGACCTCTACTTCCTATCCACCCTCGATTGAAAAACTCCTAGCTGAGTATAAAGATTTATCAATGGAACCGACTGGAACCACTGAGCGTGCCATTAAGCACACTATTGAGATCATTCCTGGTAGTAAGACTCCCAAGGGCCCTGTCTATAGAATGTCTCCTAGGGAACTTGAAGAATTGAGAAAACAACTCCAGGACCTAACCGAAAAAGGATGGATTCGCCCTAGCTCTTCTCCTTACGGCGCTCCTATTTTGTTTGTGCCTAAAAAGGAAGGTGAGTCACGTCTTTGCATCGATTATAGAGGGCTGAATTTTGTCACTGTCAAGAATGTCGAACCCCTACCACGTTTTGACGACTTGTTGGATCAGTTGCAGGGCTGCAAGTACTTCAGCAAGATTGATCTGAAGTCTGGGTACCACCAGATCGAGGTGGATCCCGCAGATCAACACAAGACGGCTTTCCGAACAAGGTATTGTCACTATGAGTTTGTGGTAATGCCTTTCGGATTGACGAATGCCCCAACGACCTTTCAAAGGTCCATCAACGAGTTATTTCATCAATGGTTGGATCAGTTCGTCATCGTGTATCTCGATGATATTCTAGTGTATAGTAAAACACTAGAAGATCATGAGAAACACCTCCGTCTTGTATTGGGGAAGTTGCGTGAAGGTAACTTCAAATTAAACCTGAAGAAATCTGAGTTCGCTAAGTCAGAAGTTCTATATTTAGGACACAAATGAACGAAGACGGTCCAAGGCCAGAGGAAAAGAAGATTTCAGCAATTAGAGATTAGCCACAACCTAAGTCTATCACTGAGTTGCGTTCTTTCCTTGGTTTGGCAAGTTACTATAGGAAGTTTGTTAGAAACTTCTCACTGATTGCTGCACCAATGAGAAGATTGTTGAAGAAAGGAACAATATGGTTGTGGAATAAGGATTGAGAGTCCGCATTCAAGAAATTTAAGTATGCATTGACCCACTATCCTGTGTTGAAAATTGCTGACCCCTCTCTTCCCTTCATTGTCACAACTGACGCAAGTCAATACGAAATTGGCGCAGTCCTTCAACAAGATGACGGCAAAGGCTACAGAACAGTCGAGTTTATGTTTGCCCGATTGCCCACTGAAAAAGTTGCCAATTCTACTTATGAAAGGGAATTGTATGCCTTAGTCAGTGCACTAAAAACCTGGAAACACTACTTGTTAGGGAGGCACTTCACTGTGTACTCAGACCACTCTACCTTACAGTGGATAAAACACAGCCTAAGCTCTCTGACAAACTGGTACGATAGTCTGCCTTTCTTGATACCTTTGACTTTGAACTGAAAACAATCAAAGGAAAGTCTAACGTGGTTGCAAATGCATTGTCCAGGCGAAGTGACTTCTTCGGAACTATTGTCTCTTATCTGGATGTGGGAAGTGAATTGAAAGAAAAGATTCGCCAAGGGTATGCTAGTGATCCTATCTGGAAGCCTATCCTTGATACTATTGTCAAAGACCCATCTCTCATTCCCAACTACCGAATAGCCGATGGTTTGCTTTTCTTGATTGACCAAACTGAACAAAGACTTTATATTCCTCACAAAGAAGAAATCAAACGTCTGGTGATTGGAGAATGTCACGATTTCGAGGGACACTTTGGATTCAAGAAAATTTACGCTGAGGTCAAAGAACGCTTTGATTGGAAGGGAATGAAGGAAGACGTACTAACTTACGTTCGTACCTGTCTAGTGTGCCAGAGAAACAAACCTTCACATGAGAACCCCCTGGGTCTACTGAGACCATTGCCAATTCCAAGTGAACCAGGTGAATCCATCTCCATGGATTTCATGAGTCTCATAAAGAGCCGCAATGGCAATAGTCAATTGATGGTTATTGTTGATCGTTTCTCTAAGTACGATATGTTTATTCCCTTGCCTGCTGAAGCACGAACTGAACTTGTGATTCAGAAATTTCAGATGCGATGGGTTACTGAATATGGGTTTCCCTTAACTATTGTGTCTGATCGAGATACGAGATTCACAAGTATGCCATGGCAAAAGCTGATGGAAGCATACGGCACTCGTTTGACCATGTCGTCAGGGCAACACCCTGAAACGAATGGGCAAAATGAACAGATGAACCGCTTGTGCCAACAGCTCTTGCGCATGTACATAAGACCCGATCAGATTGACTGGGATGAGAACTTGCCCAAGATTGCCAGTGCTTACAATAGCAGTGTACATACTGCTACAGGACGAACTCCTAACGCACTGCACAAGGGATGGAAACCTAGGCGTCCCATTGACGTACTAACCCGGGACCAATTTCTTAGGTTGCCTCCAGGGACAAGAGAATATGCAGTTTTGTTCCAAGAAGATATAAAGAAAGTAAAAGAAAACCTGAAGAAAACTCAAGAACAAATGATAGAACAGGCCAATAAGCATCGACGACCATCTACATTTAAAGTAGGTGATTGGGTCTAGGTTAAGTCTAAAGAGTTGTCACTGGAAGAAGATGTGACTCAAAAACTGCTACCTATTTACTTTGGACCTTGGGAAGTTCTCAAAGTATTGGGAGATGTAGAGGGACCGTCCTATCGAATTGATATTCCCCCTCATCTCAAGACGTACTCTGTCTTTCATGCGTCCAAACTGATGCCTTATGTAGAAGGAAATGAGTTTCCCAACAGACCCTCTATGATTCCACCATCTATGGACGGAGGCTATGAAGTCGATAGAATCATAGAACACGGGTTCTTTTCTACAGGAGCACGCGGACGTCCCCAGAAGCAGTTCAAGGTACGTTTCAAATCTCAACAACCATCAGAGGACCGATGGTTCAGTAAGAAGGAACTACTTGAGACTGCTCCTGACATTGTTTCTGCTTATGAACGAGGGTTGAAGTCGTACGTATTTCTGCGGTGGTACTCGAAAATGGGCCGGCAGGAATGTAATAACCCTGTTCAGAAGTAGCCCGGGGCCTAGAACTCAGCCCCAGGCCACGCAGACCAAACAGGTCTGCGCTGGGCTGTGTGACCAGCACATGCCCAGATCTGAGAAGGCCGCACGCGGCTGTCGGACCAAGTGCTAGGCACAGGAAATTCAAGAGTCAAAGTCAACTGTCAAGTCAAAGGTACCACGCCAGGCTCTTGGTTAGATACATCCACTTGTTGTGCACAGGTACCAAGACATGCATCCAGGCCGAAGAGGATACAGTTTCAGATCAATCCAGGCCGAATAGGATACAGTTTCAGATCAATCCAGACCCTTACCAGTGTTGAGATCTGGACGGCCGGAGTCTGCAGCAGTTGGGGTCCAGACCCCGAGTCAACGCTACATAAGCGTGGACTCCCTGGCTTTGAGATTCATTCATTCTGCCTTGAGTCCACGCTGACTCTATGATGCAGAAGGCGATGCTGGCTTAATGCTGCGACGCTGGTTGGACGCTGGCATTTTGGCTGGCACTTCGAGAGACGACGGCACTCTGCTTGTCCGGCATTGAGGCTGGCTGGCACTTGTCTTCGTGGCTTGCTGATGTGGCAGCTGCCACGCGCCGTTGCTGACGTGGCCGCTCCCACGTAGGACACATTGCTGAGGTGGCGATATTATGTGACTGGTATTGCTGTTCTGTTCAGTCATCACTTCAGGGAGATATCAAGGCTGTTGTATCATCATTTCAGGAGGAGATCGGGACTGTGAGGAGGTTGTGATACGTACCTGGATTCTTTATGTTGAYGAGGCTCCAACGCTGATTATGGTCTGATAAGGTGCCWCGTGGCACATTGTGACAGGACTTCGATAGGTGTTCAGATTACTGGTTACTGTAGGTGGTGATAAAGGAAGGAGCCCGGAGAAGGAGTGGGCATTGTGATTTCCTCTCCCTTGTCTTTCCTCCCTCCTTCCTCTTCGTCTGTGTATGATTATCTCACCTCTCTCTCTTTCTGGATACTGTTTGATTATTGGAACTATCAGCGGGTCGATAATCTGGACTTACATTGTCAACATTCGTATTCATGACTTGGGTTCATTGCAAGACAGTGTAGACGCTGTGGAGGGGACGGTCTGTCACCCGTCTGACCACCTTGCACTCCAGAATGGGGACCAACTATACTGACCCATAACCCCTGCTTGAGTTCGTCCCTACAACCTTCAGGCGTAGTCTACGGCTCACCAAAAGTGGATCGGGGCTCAATCGGTTCACCGAGGCGACGAGACCAAACAAAATCAATGTTTGTCTCGTGCCCTGCTTCGGGTGATCAGTAAATTGAATAGGCCTCCCCAAAAAAAACATTAAAGAAATTGAATAGGCCGCGAGACAGTGGTAGCAGTCAATGCTGCGCCCATCCATTTACAGTTCGTTTGATTTGGAGCCGTCCATCCGTGAATGGCCCGCCATAAAACTAGTGACCCATAACCCCTGCTCGAGTTCTTCCCTACAACTTTTAGGTTTTGCCTTAGCCTTCTGTACGGCCTCCGCCATTGGAGGGGTGCCACTTACAGCAGGCCAAAACTACCCGGTTCTTTGACCTTTTTAATTTTGTGATGCATCTGACCACACCCTGCCATGGACCCTGCCCGCCTGAACTGCGCAGTTGGCCACCAGAGCCAGCCAAATCCAGCTCAGGCCCTGCTCGGCAGGCGGGAACTGAAAGTGGTGATCCCCGTTAAACAACTCTGAACAGAAACCATACCACTGCCAACCTTATGCACTACCATCGTCACCCGAATAAAACGCCCGCTCATTATCGCTGCATCTGGACTGAAAGCTATAATGACCGGGGACCGGCGGGGGTTCTATTCGGGTGAAGATGGTAGGAGGAGAAAAGGAAAAGACAAAACCATGGGTGCTGTGATTGCCTCTGCTGCTCCAAATCATCCACCTTGACCGAAAATCCACATACCTTCTGAACTCCACAAACGAGAAGTGTACGGTGTGACTGATGGATATCCATTGAGCACGCATAATGTCTAGTCATGTCCCACGTTTGTACCACCTGCAAAACCGCAAAATAATAACAAGCAAATTCAAAGCAGACAATAGGAACATGAAAAAAGAAAAAGCTCCTTCATATACAAGTACTGGTGACTAGGGAAAACACACACACACACACACACACAAACAAGTACTGGTGACTGAATGCCACACACGTGTAACTGTGAATGAAGTCTCATCATGAACAGATGCAGGGTTCAAACTTTGAAATCTGTCAGCTACAATGAGGTTGGGTGGTACCCTCTTTTGAGTCTTTTCTTATCTCTATATAGGCGGCGCAGTAATTCAGAAGAGACGAAGGATCAGTATCCAGCAACATTTCTTTCTTTTTTTCTTCCTTTCTTCTTCCTTTTTTTTTATTTTAAGGCTAATTCTTTAAGCCCAACCAATTCAATTACCTGTCAAATCTGGACAGGACCGCCTTTCAGGCCTTTTYTATTGTCATTATAGTATTACGGGGAACCCCGTAGCAGCCACATCCGTGCTCAAGCCTCCAACAAGGGAGCATGCGGGAGCTGCACCCACCAGCAGGTGTGATACCTGCTACCGCAGGTGGGCGATACCGGCCAGGGGTCAGCCGGTAGCATCAGGACCGAGCTTCTTCGATGGGCCAGTCACTGTGCCTCCCCTCCGGTCCCCTCCCTCGGGGGGACCAACGGCCTATCTCTAGGTGGCGGGCGCCAAGCTTGCCCAGGAAGGTACATGAGGCCAATGGGGATTGAACCCAAGACCTCCTGCATGCCACTTGCGTGCCTTACCAACTGAGCTAGGCCGCTGGATCTTTCTTTTTTCCAGCAGCACTTCTTGATGAAAACGTACGGAAGAAGAAAAAAAAAAACAAGGAACAACAGCCTCCATAAGACCTTGTGTGCCGAGCCCAGAGAAAAGGTGACACATGGTCAGTTTCAAAAGGCAGTCCAAGGGGAAATCAAAATCTGCTTTCCCGCTAAAAAAGTGGCCTGGCGAATGTGTACGAACAGCGGAGATGTAACTGAGGTCACATGCATGAAGTGTGCTGGAATCGGACAAAGACATCAATGACGCAGATTGTCCCTTTTAGGCTTTTTTTGAAATTTTGTCTTTTGCCTCTTTTTTTCTTTTTTTTCTTTTTTTTGCTTCTGATTTTTCCATACTTGCAAGCGGACGGACCGGACGAGCGTCCGGTCCGGTCCGCTTTGCTGTGTGCGGCACCCTCCCCCCGGACCGGACCGGACCGGACCGGGCCGTTTTTTTTTCTTTTCTTTTGGGGGTGGGGGGTAACTGATCGTCGGGCGCACATTCGTGCGCCGCGTGGGTCCGGTCTGGCGGTCTGCCGCACGAGAGGAACCGCCTGGACGGCATCCGCTTGCAAGTACGGATTTTTCCTTTTTATGCTGTTCCGCTGCTGTTTTTTTGCTTTCATTTTCTGCCGTTTGTTTTGTGATTCCGCATAGCTGAGTCACATGAGGACGGTTTCGTTTCTTGTTTCCATGCTGCCATGTCGGCATTTATGGCTCACGAGTTTGGAAGTTTTCGCCATGAATGGATTCACACTGCAAGCATTCCCAGTCCCAGCAATTATGTTGCTCAAGTCGCTGCTGAGAATGTAGCGCGTGCTTCTATTCCATTTCAGAAATTAAGTCAGTTGAAGTGAGAATTAAAGGTTTAGGTTATAGAAAGCCTTCGTCCTTATGTGGTTTACAATTAGGAATTTAGGAGGGCTTATTATAACTAGATGACCCGTTGCGGCTTCGCCCACAAAAACAGAAAAGGAAAAAAAGCACAAAAGAAAGAAAAGCATAAGGAACTCCCCTATCCTATGCCACCGAGCCTTTTTTTCCCTTTATCTTTGAGTGTTTTGTTTGGGGAGCCATTACCTTCGCAGCATCGTTTTTGTTTTGTGATGTGCAAGAACTCTGCACTTTTCTGAGAAAATCCTGTCCATTGTCCCGTTTTGCAGCTAAAGATTCAGATTCAGACTTTGTTTGCTGTGTTCTCTGGATATGTTTGTGATCAACCCATCTTGCATGTATGCATGCCCCGTGCTTACTTGTTGAGTTTTTACGCTATGTGCGCAAGTGCATGCGTGTGTGGGTGAGTCTCACTTTGGTGCGCTCGGATGATGTCATTGACGATTGGCCCGGGGAAGTTGAAGAAAGTCGGCTCCAACTATAGGAGTGACACGGATGTTACGCAGGTTTTGCATTGTATGAATGAAACAATCAGCATTCAATCTGCTTGGCAGTTGCTCTTCGGGTGGGGGACTTCTCGGGAGTAGCATTGACATGAGAGCATCTTGGAGCATTTCCGGGAAGGCAAAACGCAAAGAAGAAACGAAGTAGCACGTGTCAGAGTCACATAACGGACAGCTTTGGCACAGTCCCCCCCCTTCTCTCTCTCTCTCACACACACACACACACAAAGTTCTCTCTCTCTCTCTCTCTCTCTCTCTCTCTCTCTCTCTCTCTCT